GTGTTACTCGATCTTGCAGACTTGCATTGTCAAATCTTTCACACACGCTGACGATGCAACGACGTTCGCATGTCGAAATACTGATCGCTATCTTGGTCCTTCTGCTTTCTAGCCGCTCCTCATGTCACTGAGATTCTAGCATCCCTCTCCGAGCGCTTCTATTCGCCATATTGGGGGGATTTTTCAGTCTCAAGGAATGAGGCTTATTTATACTGTTTTTAGCATACTGATCTTGGCGACCACGAGCGCTTGCCGTGCTACGACGCGGAGGCTTGGCAGACTCCACGTAGCAATCTCGCGGTGGACAAGGGACTTTTCTTCTGAGGGTAAACCCGAATCGAATTCCTGTCACTTATCAGCTTCTCAAATGCAAAATGTTGCCTAATCCGACATGCAATATGTAGTACTACCGCATCTGCATTCTTTCCCCCGTATGCATGGGGGAAAGAATGCGGATGCGGTAGTACTACATATTGCACGCATACGATAAAGTTTATTTTGAAAAAGCCCCCTTCAGCAAGGTTGACTCTCCCCATCGTGAAACAAGCTGGTATGCCCATTTTTATAAAAGTCTTGAATTTGGAGCCAAAAAATTGATTTGACTCGCTTTCAAGTTCTTCTCTACTCTGAAGCTGCCGATTCCTCATGTGATTATCCAGAGCCAAAAACTGGAGATAGTCGCTAGATGTGGTGAATACGGAGGATGAGGCAGAATTTCCCATTGTAAAGGTGCTAAAGTTTCCCGCGTGATTTTTGCCGCGTACGGTATGGTTTTGTCCTGGTAAAATACAACTCCTCTGTTCGCCAGAGCTGGTTGTTACTGGCGAAGAGCAACCGAAACCCTGTTCAAATCGACTAAGTATACTGAGCAGTAATGGTTTGTCCACTTGGTAGGAGTTCATAGTGAGCAATACCTACTGTGGTCCACCAAGTAGTCCACCAGACACACAGTAAAATATTTGTTGGTGAACAATGGGCGGTTTGACAAAGCGCGGTTTGAAAACGCACTAATTAAACTTGTGAGACACACTGATTGCTTCTGCATGAATCAAGCTTCAAAGCATATGCATTGTTACCCTCCTACCACAATGAGTTTTTCAATACATTGCATAGAATTAGTCAATTATGAAAACAGCATGAACTTTTTTGGTTGCCTAATATTACAATCAATATGTGATAATCGCTTAACTGACTATAATCTCAACCCAAGCAATTCATAACTTGTGCCATGGTTATCCCAAGATCGATACATACAGATAGATACAGATACAAGTTGTTATTGTACTGAGACCACAGCTATGGAGAGCGGTTGATCCGCCTTCGCCTGGTATTCCGCTTCTTGTCTTATTGATAAGAGGCAGCTTCTCCTTGTCTTCTATCTGTCTATAAACTTTCATCACTCGATGTCTACCCTTCGACTAACCGAACAGAGACCTCATTCTGACCGGACACGACTCCGATATCGTTTCAATTACACAATATTCTATCCGGTCGTAGAGGTGCAAATTTCTTCGTATGACTAGTAGAGCTTCCCTACGACCGGCTATTAATATATTGCGGTCATGAACCTATCGTTTCGCAAGCAATCGTACCGGTATTGTATACGCTACCCCGAAGAGCTGATTCGGCCTCTCATGAAGCACTACACTGATCAGCACCCAAATATTCACGTAGTTCACATATATACAATAGCGCTCAAAAGTACGGCCTCGGCGAAATGCTTCTTTAGTCGTACTTTTCGGTCGTAACTCCTTTCCTACTGGATCTGATCAAGCTAAATTTCAATATGTGTAGCATTGAAGTGGTGTGAATGTTTACCACTATTGACCTGCATTTTGATCATGTTGCGAATATCCCAAAGGGTACCAGCGCTAAGGCGCAACGTAGAAGAAGAGAAAAACGCAAATAAGGTACGAATAACTGCAGACGTCACAAACTTTCAGTATAATCTACAAACGCCTTCCCCTTAATTGATGGTCATTGCTGCTTTGCAGTCAAATAGTGTTGGATAGTGTGAAACATAGTTCAGTTAAACATATCGAAATTTCATGCGATTTGCTCAACTGGGAAAAAAGTTATGGCAAGTTAAAGTTGGAGGAATAATTTTGAGCGCTACTGCATCATTTCTGTAGAGAACCGCAACTCCGAACCTTCAGAAATGAGCGAACCTCGAAAAATTCTGAATGTTACATTTGTCGGAGACAAAAATTTGTTTTGGAGAGCTGCGAGTAGAAGTATTACAGATTCCCGCTAACTGAAGTGTGACAGGGCGGCAAATGATTTTGGATAACGAAGATGGACCGTACAAATTTGGTTGATTTGAAGTTGTAAACCTCTACTACGTCGGATTTATGGTGCACTACTACAATAGCTGGTATTTATAACTCGTAATTAGGTTTTAGTATTTGAGTTATTGCTATCAATTGATAGGGCGGGTGCTATTCTATTATTTCAACAATTCTTAGATTGAGATGGTGTCATAGCAAGGAGCGCCCTATCAGCCTTTTCGCAGATGTAAGATCGAAGCTCGGCTCAGTACTCGCCCATACCTACCCTTCCCTTATGGGTAGGTTAATTGGCATCCTTCGTCCTCCTACCGCCAATTCTTGATCTTATTATTTCAGTACCCATGATTGCCCTATACTAATTGATGAGCTTTTGTTATGAAGCGAATTGGAACTTACTTCTCCCTCTTTCGTGGCCTTCGCAAGTCGCTTCTCATAGTCTCTGGTTACATTTTCTTTGGCTGTACCACTGAAACGACTATTCTTGGAAGCAATCCTCCACACATATGTATATAAATAACTAAATCCGTGTCTTTTGTCGGTGTGTCGTTCTGTCTGTCAGCCCGCAAAAAGTCTTAGACACAGTTAGGGAAGTTTACGAAATAGGAAGTGTAATATCATCGATTATATTAATCCCCCGATTGATAGGTCAAGTTGTGACGTCTATGACTGGGAATCGTTACTTGCAGGATGGATCCATTTCGATTCTTAACGATAACAAGCGGTTAAAACCTCAGAAAGTTGGGACGAGGTGGGAATTTTTCTACACGGGTAGGCGTCTATAAAACAGTATAAATTGATATAACTTTGTCTTCCCATTTACATGACAACCTCCCCCTTAGTGACGACACAAAAGTCAACACTAATTTGTTTGAAGAAAAACGGCTGTGGATGTCAAAGTTTCTCTAGCTGTCACCCTGCATATTTGTTGATAAATGCAAAGTCACTGAAACTGAAAATTGTGCCAAACTAATTCAATATGCCTTTTTAAGGCCTGTTGGAAATAAATGCGCACAGGCATATTAGTTGAGGTGGGGGAGAGGTGAGCAGTACGTTGAGTGGGAGGGATTGCTCCGCCCTTCTAATCTTTGAAGCTGAGCAAATTCATGATTCTGCAAAACAGTACTTTATCTCGTGTGCGAAGGTTGTTTGGGGGTTATCATTTTGCTATCATAGGTGACAAATATAAGGAATGATCAAAAGAAAAGATTCTTGATGTCAGATCATAAAGATCATAACTAACGTTACAGCGTCATGATGTTGCACCAGAGCAGCAGCTCGAGCTATCGTTTCAACATCTGCATCGTCTTCGGGACCAAGATCAGCCAAGGCATCAAGTTGTTTACATAGCTTGAATGTAAAGGATCACCATATAATATTTCATAACTTACTGCCATGAGAGTGTGGTATCTTAAGCCAGTAAGTCTGGGACCGCAGCTAAGAGTGAGGTTTATTTCTCGATTACTAGAATTGTCACAAAACTATTGCTGCGCGCGTCACCGTGGAATGCCAGGTATATCTCTGCTTTCGGATAAAGAACCTATGTACAAATCGGATTCAACGAAATCGTCGGCGAAGTTTAAATCGAAATGACGTGGCAATGAGATCCCTTTCACGGATTTATCAATTGGTTGCAATCATTTCGAATTCGTTGATAGATTTTCATTAGCTCCAAAGACAATTCCGTAAAACTACTTGCGTCTGACGGAAAGAACAGAATAGGCTGAAGGATCATAAGACATTGGGTATAGTTGAATGGGGAATACTCATATACCTGGAGGAGAGAACTCGTTTCTCGGACCATACGCTTGAAGGTAGGTCGGCTCGTGAAATATCCGGTCCAATAAGAAACGTTTGATGATGCATATCTAAAAGCAGATGAACCACTTACTAAAAAAACTTGAGATGGATGAATAAGCTATCTTGGGACTCAGCTGCCATTATTAATACCTTCTTCTCAGAGAATTATTAACTTCTGCACTGCAAGTGTCCATTTCATGTACTGAAACTAACTACTCGCCACCTATTCATAAAACAATGCTGTGGATTGAATTATGGTGTGAATACCAGAACACGAAACAAGAAAGTTGAAACAGGAGTAAATAGGCAGATTTTGCAGAACAGTTCAATGCTGGCGCCAAGAGTGTTTCTCTTGTTATTCATCAAATCCTACTCTGACCACTGAATTATGCGAAACCGCTAGTCAATCTGACTCATTTGATTAAATCATTGGGACATTTCAAAAATAGGCGGTTTTCTCCTATCAAGTAAGCTTTGATATAGAGCAGAATCACGCTAGAATGAGCGCTAGCTGTTGTACATGCCCTCCCAGAAACCTACCATCGACCCACCGATTTCTTCTCTTATCTGCTCTTGTATGTATTATCGAATAGGGAATAACTTATAGCTAGAGATATGTAGTTCACCTCTCTATTGCCTCTTCATCTTGGTAATGTATCCTTGATAGATTCAACTGTGCTTATCATCTCACAACACTGTGTACCACCCCCCCCCCCCCCCCCCCCCCCCCCTCCCCCCTACCCGATGCATTCTGTTACCAGGAGGGGCTACGCGACGCGCCATATCAGGAGCGGGCAGCTCTCCAAATCAGTAGTTTGCTGGTAATGAATTTTGATTTGATGATGTACTATATCTTTCAGATAGATAGGTAGATATTCTCATTGTTTCTGTTCTATAGTATTCTGTTCCAATAACTTACGGGAAAAAGTCGTCTTCTTTGGTTGGCAAACGTGTAGTCGAAGATTCGGTGAGGCCTTTTACGTAACATGATGGAGTCGAATAAAACACATGTACACCGTGAGTGGCCTAAATCAAAACGGCATACCGATTTTTTCAATGACTTTCTTCTGAAAGTGTCTGCAAGAAGCACATTTCATCTAAATTCTTACATTTCCATTCACATGCTGTATCAACTTATCCAGATTCGTATACCATGCGTTTGCATTCGTGTATTGGAAGTCACTTCCCATCAACATTAACACGTGGGATGAACGGAGGAATGAGGCCTGAAATAAAATCTGCGACAATAATGAGTAGACGCCACTTTGGGGCAGCAACTAGCCTGTCTTTTCACATGGCTCACGAAAGAGCTGATCTTTTCGTCGAGATTGTAGCCTTCCAGGTCAGGATTGTCCATGATCGGGTCATCCCCGCACAATGTGTCAAAACAGAAACCTTCCGGTGGTCCGTAGTTATCTTGAAAGAAGGCTCCGGCCAAAATCTGGGTTTCTGATATGATGGAGCCATCAGTCGAATCAGGCGAGAGAGTTGTGTAACAAGAAAGCTTACTCAAATCCTCGGACGTGTTCCAAACGAACTCCAAACTTTTGTTTTGTAACCGAGCCTCTTTTTCTAAATAATGTATGCGTGCGAAGAACACTGAGGTGAAGCCCATCTGAAAGTAATGGTAGCTGAAGAGAGATGAACGAATCAAGTAGGAAAATCAGGAAATCATGCTGTGATTCATAGCTGCAAAGCCTTCATTCAGAGATTGGAGCTTAGAACGAGTAACGAATAGCCCATACCAAGCACCACAAATGGATATTGGTCGGAACCATTGAAATATTATCGATCCCTAACTCGAAGCTGTAATCCCCCCACACACCTTTCCAACTCACTTAGTATCTAAAGGACTCAGCCGTATATGCGTGGTCAAGAACAACATTATTTATCGCTACTGATCGACTAACGTCGACTGGTATGGTTGTAGCGCAATTCCTTTCCATCCTGAATCACGCCTTCTGGGTTCGAACGCTCGACGCGAAGCGGAAATAAGCTTTGAATACCCAGTCGATTGGACAACCAATTCATATGTGGTTATCTGTATTGATCCACATAGACCGATATAATTGCGGCCCAAATTTCATAGTACCTGAAGGTTCTACACTTGAAGGGAGCATAACAAAGAATAAAAGATTAACCACACATCAAAGCGACTTTTATGGTAATCGCTGGATGATATCGTTATGTGACATTACAGTGCGATTTTTCACGATAGAGGGAACTAAACTGAGATCACCGGTTAACTACACAAAAATCGAAAGTAACCGGTGAAGATTTATCGATAACAAGCAATATCACAACTGTGTGCTGTTCATTACATCTGCTGCACTTTACCAGTTGGGCTATGCATGCATTGTATGTCCACGACCGCTCATCCGTGGAGTCAAAACTTCTGCAGGTACTTTATCAGGTGTTATCGAATTTCCGTGCAAATAGGCAGACAGACGCGAGCGTTTTATATATAGTAAGGAAACTAAAAGGAGATAAGCCGTGAATAAGTGGTCAACCACACAATAAATTTGTGCCTTGGTCAAGCTAAGGTGGAAAAATTTTATTTCCGCTCCTCAGTTATCCTCTCTTTTTGGATTCTGACGAGTTTCTGGATGTAATTACTTCCCATCAATCGGTGGCCTTCACTTATCTTTTCCGAATCGGGAAGGCTGACCATAGTTGTCAGTATTGCGTTTTTGCTCATACTGCGCACGTCTGGCCTACCTGAGAAATTTTTTAAGTTGCTAGCCTTGAAGTCACAGCTCAAAATGGCTTTGAAGTCAATAGATTTCCAATTGAAGTTCTGCCCACTACGGGGTCCAGCTCCTTGCCATGGAAATTTACCTCTTTTCAATTCCGTTTCCGGACCTTGGAACGTTTAGAAACCGAACGTAAGTTTCCAACAAAAGCTTCGCGTGTCTGCAGCATTTGTAGTTGAAACTTGCATTCCCATTTTCTCAATTCACGTTTTCATACAGAAGGGTCTCCGAGTCCAGGTTAAGTCACTTGGTTTAAGTGACTTGGCTCATTCCGTGCTTTTCCCAACTTGTTTGCGTAATATGCTCTGAGGATACTAAACTGTTGTAGAGTGAGAGCTAGATGAATATGTTCTGAAGCAAATTAGAAAAGATTCGCTTCATTCTTAATAAGGAGAGAAATGCAAATCATTTTAGTCGTTCGTGTGAATTTTCATACATTACTCTGTTCACAGAATTCGGCGGTTTGCAAGATCGCCCCCACAGAAGCGCGCATGTCATGGCATTGCTGGGAAAATCTGCACAGGGGCGCGCAGTGGATTTAGCAAAGCAGCGGCATTTAATATCAAGAAGGATTTCCGCCTTTCTAGTCAATAAATAAATTCCGCTGGGAGAAGAAGTGAAAGGTTGTGAAAGCGGAAATTAATCAAATATGGAGCATCCGCCATTACCAGAATAGGTGAATTTGTTCACGTTAAAGTAGCAGCGATATTATATCTATCTTACCAGAGCAAGCAGGTTAGCTTGTTCCTTGCTATGACCGAAAGGATCAATCTGCCATGCCGTTCTCGGTTTTCCACACTCGCCAAACACCTGTTCCAGTTTCTGAAAATTAGCTCCGATCGCTGATTTCTACCGGAATCGGCGAATAATTTAATTTAGTAACCTTCAATCCCAATGTCATTTGATCGACTATATCGACATAATGTGAACATGCTTCATCGTTTTGAACCCATCCGCCTCCAATCATCTCAATTTGACCTGAAAATCGTTACAGAATGACTGGAGATGCTACTTCTGATGTATGAAGCAAGAAAATACGTTATGCATGACTGGAAATCCAGGAATATTAGTGAAAACCTGTACACCCCTGAGAAGGGTTCATGCCTTCTGTTTGTTAAGAAAATTAGGGAAGCCAAGTTCGGTAAGTCAGGAAGCGAGCTCACAGACCGCCAAGTTTGATCGTCCTCTAAACGTTTCGCCTAATCGCCTACACTGCTTGACCGGACGCTAATTTTTGACGGAAGGTTCGCATTGAAGCTCTTCGTGGCTGATTCTTCGAGCCATTGGTAGGAAGGGCAAGTTAGAGCTAAAAAGCTTCGGAAACGTAAGTAGTTTTTGCGCATGATTCTGGAAAGTGTCGTCAAGATGGTTTGCGGTGTATTTAGCTTACAACATTGCTGCAATCTCCCTCCCAACATCTGAGGACAAGATCGCCTCGAAAGCTCGGTTTGCATTAAAAATGTGAACTGGCCTGCATATGATCAGTCACTGTTTTCATCATCTTGGTTAACAAGAGCTGTAGGACGAGTGTAAAAACTTATGATATGACGAACCCTGACCGATCCAATTGTTCTTATCATTGAGTCAATAATATCTACACGTTCTGACCGTGCCATTTTCTCTTTTCAAAGACTAGTCATAGAAAACTCGTTAGCTACCACTTTGGTGGCTTGTCCTAAGAACATCGAGAGGTGCGAGACCAAAGTTTGAAATGAAGGTGGGACTACGATCGCAGCATCTAGCCAGAAGAGGTCTGACAGCGAATGTCAGCCAAATTTGGAAAAATGCCGTAGTCTGGCTCCATGGCTTAAATCTATAGCTTATATTCACGCAAATGCACGATGACTTCTGATAACGGTGTTATCATGTTATGACAACACTGATAAGTACCGTTCCAGATTCAGGTTGACTGCTTAGGTTATTCCGTCATAGAAAAGGCGTTGTACCATTACTTTTGAGATCAAAAGCAACAAATTAGTATTTCATAATCGCAAGCGGAGTGTCACCACATATTGAATTAATAGTAGGACTATGCTCGTCAACGCGTGCATTACAGGGTGTCCCATAATTAAGTGCGCCAAGATACAGGAATTTCTAAGGTAAAAACAATCTATCAAATTC